TCCTACCATTTATCGCCATCTTGTTGGAAAGCTCAACTACTTAACAAATACTAGGCCGGACCTATGTTTCACTGTCCTCTGTTTGAGCCAGTATATGCAACGCCCTTGCATGTCTCATTATTCTGCAGCTTTGCGTGTCCTCCGCTATTTGCGCACTGACCCTTCTCAAGGGATCTTTCTTACTGCACATCCCTCATTTGATCTACTCGCTTATTGTGATGCAGACTGGGCGGCTTGTAGAGATTCTCGCCGGTCTGTTAGTGGATTCTTCATCACCCTTGGTTGAAGAACAGAAGAAGAAGCAGCATCACAGAGACAGAGAGACAAAAGAACAGACGAGGCATCAAAGGAAAGAAGAAGAAGACAAAATGAAAACACATTGATACTGATAAGTGGACAGTGATGTGGCAGCATTATAGCTGTTGATACTCAGATCAGAAGATCTAATCCTGACCGTTGGATTAGAACACATAAACATATCCTGGCCATTCATTTATTAGTACCATACACATGAGTGAACACATGCCCACATTTGTATTAGTGAGCATGCACTAAAAGTGAGTATGGACTCACATAGTAAACAATACTATTGTCTAGGAATATTATATGTACATTTTTTGTATCTATAGGATGTAATGTATATAGCAGCTACAGGGTGAATATACAAGATAAGAAAAATTCACTGCATCATCAATCCTCTCAATCTTTCATAATGAGTGCTCTTTTAGCATAAATAATTACTATTTCCTTTTGTTCTGATTCATTCTCTTCCTTTTTTTTCTTTTTCTGGGCGCAGGCAGTTCATATTTTCAGTCATAAATCTATTTATTGTAAGGTAAGTATTTCAGATAAAGCAATCAGATTTTCAAAGAAAACGAATGGAGATATTTTTTTAGATATTTTCTTGAACTGGCATTCTTTAAAAACGTGTATTCAATGACCAAAATATTATTTAATTTTGACTATACTCTTCAGGTAGCCAATTTGCTACTTCTCCTCTTCTATATATAAAGCTCATTTATCCTTCCTAAAACATACACCAAGCAGCTTTTGTGAGAATTTTGAAAAATCACAAAAGCTGCACAGTTAAAAGAAAAAGAAGAAGAAGAAGGGGACGAAAAAAATGCGTCCAGCTTCATCAGCTATCACCTTCTTCATTCTTCTTTTTATCTCCATCTATATTTTGAAGAAAACCCTAAAAAAGTTTCCCAGATCATCGATAACTATAGTATTAAACTACGTAGTCTTTATCGCTAATCAGTTGAAATGGGCTGGGGAAATTCTCCTCCTTCAATCTTTTACTCATCCTTATAATCTCACTACTATTTCTCGAGATGATCATGATCAGGATCAGGATCATGATCATGATCATGAGCTTGAAGTTATGCATTATGAACCCAAATCAGAATCTTCGGGTTCAGTAGAATGTGCAGTTTGTTTGTGCAAGATTGAAGAAGGAGAAGAAGTTAGAGAGTTAAGATGTGATCATCTTTTTCATAGGGTTTGCTTGGATAGGTGGCTTGATACGGGACGTATGACGTGTCCGTTATGTAGAAACCATCTCAACCCACCTCGTCTCATTCCTAATTTGCATCAAGAGATTATTTTATTCGATATCGCCTCGGGGACGAGGTCGAGAGATCGCTATCAATGGTGGCTACGATAAATAAAATTTTTGCATGATTATGGTAAAACGAAGATGAACAATATAGTTCTTAGGAGATATATGTATCATTGTCATTTTCATGCATCTCTTGTAAATTATATGGCAATGATAAACTTAATTAATGATGATGAAGAAGAAAAACGCAGTCTATTTGTAGATATGCCATGTATCAAGTGATATTCCTTTTGAATCATTTAGTGGTAACTAAGTACTGGTATATTCACTCTCTAATCTTTATATTTTCAATTCAAATATGGTTTCTTCAGACCAAAGTTTGACCACTCAATTATGTGAAACCCTTGATATTTATTGGAAACTATTTGATACATTCATTAACCTCTTTTTTGGATGATAATAACTACTTATATTATGTTGTTTGTATTACAACCCTAAACTTATTTTTCTAGCATCGCGATGCCTATATTACCACTTTATCCTGGCAAGAGACAAGGAAAGTTTGGGATGGACGCAGTATATTTGCAATGGGTTTATCAAAATTGATGCAGCTCATTTTGCATGACTGTGATCCAGTTTGCATCTTTCAACGCTTCTTGATATTTTTTGGCTCTATTTGGGAAAGAAAAGCTGAGAAGGCAAGTGAGTTTCTTACTTTTGATCTGGTTTGAACTTCTGAGTCAAGAGGATGTGAGCTTTTGTGCTTCTAATTTGGTATCTGAATCTCATTGGTAGAGGACCCAGGTATGTCTGAATGAGGTTCTTAGGCACTTCTTACTTCAGAAGTGGAGTACTCTGGACTGCACCAAGAACTCTGTTTTCAGCTTCAGTTGTTGTAATTGGGGACCAGGTTTCTCTCTAATGGATAGGGATGTATTTGCATCATCTTCACTGGATTCTTTCACATGGCTCATCATGTTTGCCTTTCCATTTTCCATGTCAATCACTTCACCTAGAACAAATAAGGGCTCTCCATCTTGGTCAATGCGTATGTTCTTCTCACAGGAGAGGTGAGCTTCATCAAAGATCACATGAATACTTTTTTCAACACATTGAGTCCTTTTGTTGTATACTTTGTAAGCTTTTCTTTGAGATAAGTATCCCAGAAAGATTCCTTCATCACTTTTGGCATCGTATTTCCCAAGAGCTTCCTTTCCATTGTTGAGAACAAAACATTTACAACCAAAAGTCCTTAGATGAGTCAGCTTGGACTTTCTTCCATTCAATAATTCATATGGAGTCTTGTTCAGAAGGGACCTGATCATGCACTTGTTCACCAGGTAGCAAGCAGTATTGTCAGCTTCTGCCCAGAAATACTTTGCGTTCCCATGGTCAATCAACATTGTTCTTGCCATGTCTTTAATAGTTCTATTCTTCCTCTCCACAACACCATTTTGTTGAGGTGTTCTTGGAGCTGAAAAATTGTGAGTGATACCATTTTCAGTGCAGAACTCATCAAATTTGACATGGTCGAACTCTGTCCCATGATCAGACCTAATGCAGGCTACTTTATTACCCATCTTCACTTGAATCTTTTTTACGAAGGAAACAAACACTTCAAAGGTTTCATCCTTGGTTCTGAGAAACAGAGTATGGGTAAATCTGGAGTAGTCATCCACTATAACGAAGATGTATTTCTTTCCTCCCCTGCTTGCCACCATCATAGGTCCACATAGATCCATGTGAAGAAGATCAAGTGGCCTAGATGTATTGACTTCATTTTTGGGCTTGAATGAGGATCTGACTTGCTTCCCTTTTACGCATGTATCACATACTTTGTGATCCTTGAATCTTGACTTGGACAGACCACGAACCGGGTCATTTCTGACTAACTTGTTCAGCAACGTGAAACTTGTATGACCCAGCCTTCTGTGCCATAATTTAGCATCATCATTAACATCACTTAGACAGTTGAGATCACCATTCTTTAGAGACTCAAAATCAGCAACATAGATATTTTTGTATCTTTTTGCCACTAGCACCACCTCACCAGTCACCAGGTTTGTGACTATACAGATTTTTGACACAACTCTAGAATAAGAGAAAGTGATTAGCTTGTCCCACAGATGGGAGCTTTTGTGTTTCCAGTTTGGGACTGAAGTTTGATTGAAAGAGGAGATTTGGAAGAGTTTGATTTCCCACACTCTGTGTTCTGTTGCTTGAAAGGTGTCATGAGCTGCATCTCCACTATTTCTTCAGCTTTAGTGGTAGTAAGTAAAGTACCAGGTTCCTTGTGAGAAGTGAAAGATGATGTTGCATTGTCTTTCACCAGTCTCCTTCATCTTACTCATTTTATCAACCTCCCTATTTGAAGCCTCAGATATTTCCCAGTGACCAGTGTTGGTTCATCATATTGATCATCACCATTTCTTCCTTGGCTAGAGGAAGGTGTCTTGTTGAATACACCATGAGCATTTCCTTCTATTTAGTGTGCCCTTTGTTGTAGACTTTGTGGCCTTGCTTTGTGGAGAGTACCCTAGAAAGATTCTTTCGTTCGTCTTTTGCATTGAACTTCCCAAGCTGATCTTTCCCGTTATCGAGAACATGACATTTTTAGTCAAGAAGGTTCTCAGATGAGTTGTCTTTCATTCAAGAAGGCATTTTCTTCCATTTGGCAGCTCATGGTGGGTTTTGATTCCGGAGGGACCTGATCAGACACTTGTTCACCAAGTAGAAAGCATTATTCACTGCTTTTGCCTAGAATTTCTTAGTGATTTCATAGTTGATGAGCATTGTCCATGCCACATCTTCTAGTTTCGTTCTTTCTTTTAGCAATACCATTTTGCTGTGGAGTCCTTGGTGTAGAGAAATTGTGTATGACCCCCCTCCTTTTTTGCTTTCACTTGAAACTTCTTGACAAAAACTATTAACACCTCGAGAGTCTCCTCCTTTGTTTTGTGAACTGTGTCCAGGTGACTCTTGAGTTTGGTAGACCACGCACCAGGTCCTTCTGAGTTAATTTATTCGGAGGTGATAAGCTTGCATACACCAATATTTCATGCCAAGGTTTTGACTTCACCCATCTCATACCACCAGCTTATGGAGATTCATATTAACAGAGTGGATGTTCTTATTTCCTTTGTCCACTGAGACCACTTGGCCAGTTATCAGATTGGTAACTATACTTTTAGGCCATTCACATAGCACACGTTCCCACCTGAGTGCCAAAGAACCTTTCCAACTTTACATTCACTGAGAATGTACCCTCTACTTCCTTTTTAAGGATACATTCCCTTCAAGCATGGCTTTCAGTGAGAGGAAATTCATGATGTTTTCAGTCACGTGCTTTAAGCATCCATAGTCCATCGCAATCTGCTTCCTCTCACTGCTCTCTGCACATGCAAATCAAGGGTTACATTTAGGAACCCAAACTAGTTTGGGTCCCTTGTTATGATAGAAAGGATGAATGAGGGCTTTCCTAGTCCATGCAGGCAACATCCGCTTCTTGCGGGTGGTACCTAGTCCTTTGTTAGTAGTCACTTTATCAATAAACACTTTGTTTTTCTGAACAGACTGAACCCTGGCCTGGCAATTTTCTTTAAAATGCCCGTTGTTCCCACAGTGGGTACATAGCCAGTTATTAGGTACAGTGACATACTTGTTGTGAGGGTTGTAAGGAGTTTTCTCCCTTTGGAACCCAATGCCCTGCCTATTTCCACTATTGTTAAGATACATGGCAGTGACAACATCTGAGAACCAGGTCCACTTCAGGGATTTCTCAAGATCAATTCTTACTTTCTCTAATTCAACTTGAAGTTGTTGATTCTTCTCGAGTTCACTACATAGACTGGTTTTCACAACCGTTAATTCCTTTTCAAGCATGATGTGTATCTCACTAGCTACTTCCTTCCCTTTCCCAAGACTCACATTCCTATGTTCTCTTTTGAGTTCCTCAATGGTTTCCTCTAGATCGGGGCATATCACTAAAAGGTCATTCCTATGTTCTCTATTGAGTTCCTCAATGGTTTCCTCTAGATCGGTGCATATCACTAAAAGGTCATCCCTCTCTTCCTTATTAGTTGTAATTTTTCCTTCTAAGGAGTGTTTCTCATTGCTAAGACCTTCTATTGTTTCTTTTAGATCAAAAACTACTACCATCAGGTTGTCTCTCTTATTTTACACACTATTTATTCTTTCATTCAAGGCTTCCTTTTCTTTTTCCATATTAGCTATGGTCTTATTTAGGTCCACTACACAGACCACCAGATCATCTCTAGATTGTTCGGCCTCTCCTAATTCTATGGTCAAGATCTCCTTATCATTAACAAGGTTATAATAGGCATCAATGAGGACATTAGTTAATGACCTTAGCTTCTTAGAAGAGTAGGATTTCAGATTTCTCTGAACATCTCTGAAGTTTACCTCATCGTCTTCATCATCATTAGACTGAGCCATCAACGCGAATAGTGAATCATACTTCGTTACTTCAATTTCCACTACCATCATAGAACTATTTTATATATATAGTTCCCTTTCGGATTCACTAGAGGAGTCTCCCCAAGCAGCAAGAGCCTGCTTAACAATATTGTCGGCAACACTTTTTCGATTGAATCGTTTGTCTGGAACCAGGTTCCTTTTTGCTGCTTTGTCAAGATTTTGCTTGTATTGCTCCTGTTTCACGAGTGGGCAGTCTTTGATGAAATGTCCTGACTTTTCACATCTGTGATATATATCGTTGTTACTTGCTTTACTTGAACTACCCCACTTTGGTATACCACCATTTCTTCGAACCATCTTTTGAAATCTCTTAGTAAGATAGGCCATGTCACTGTAGACACCGGATTTTAGACCCTCCCCGAGAATTTTCACATTTTTAGCGTGAATATGTGAAATTGGGTCTAAATATAGCTATTTTGACTATTTCACTTTATTTCGTTGCAAAAAGAAAAATTACAAAAAATATATATATAAATTTTAGTTTATGTATTTCTCATAAACTTGAAAAAATACAAAAATTGCACTTTATTTTGGTACTTTATATAAATTCGAAAATTACAAAAATATATAGTTCTATTAATGTTTTATAGTCATTTTAATTTTGAAAAATATAAAAATATATTACTTTATATTTTATTTTTATATAAAACGAAAATTACAAAAAAAATAGTTTTATTAATATTTTGTAGCTATTTTAAATCTTGAAAAATATACTTAAAAGATATAGTTTTGTTTAAATATTAGTCTTATTTTTTGTAGTTATTTTGCTTACATAGGACTAGTTAAGCAACGTCGTGTTCTTATTCTCGGGTCCGGGCAAAAGAATAATATTCGGGTTCAAACTTACCCGCTTTTAGGCCTAATTTTCGGACATAGCCCATAATAATCCGAGTCCGCCATACGTGGGGAACACGGACGGAATCCCATACATGGGGAACCCCATCACGCGTGGGGAACACAAGCCTCGAACCCCACCACGCGTGGGGCTCATTTTTCGGGACAAATGGGCATTAATACACGGACAAAACATTTTGGAAAGGGAGGATTTTGAAAAAAAAATTGAAAAAGGAACGGGACTTGGAAAATTGGTTACTGTTCACGCTTCTTCTTCCTAAAGAAGAAGAAGCAAAAAACCCTAGCAACTAAAACCACCACCTCCGTCAAACAACCAAACAGGCTCGTCGACCACTGCTCGTCGCCACCACCAAACGACCACCCCATCTCCTCCCCAAACTCCATCGCAACCAGCCATCGCTGCCGCCCAAACACCTACCCGTCAAC